GAATGAAATGAAAACAGTAGGGGTAGGATCGGAATTACCAGGCGACCCAACTGTTCTGAAGGAGGATTTTCAAAAAATGGCCGGAAGTGGTCGTACGCGCTGGCGCGTGAGCTCACGCGCGTGAGCTTCTGGTGGCGCGTGGAGGCGCGTGAGGCTGCTTCTGCCGGAGTTGTTCACTGGGGTTTGGTCGCCGGACAGTGACGACTCTTGTGGTAGTGTTGGATTTTGCACAACACTGACAGAAATAAAGCAGATAGAAAACAACCTTAAAAAATACTGATTTCTCTTTCCCAGAATCGCTGGAATTTATGCACAGCGATAAGTCTCTCACAATTGCTCTGATACCATGTGGGACAATACTACACTATATACATGCTGTAAATTAACAATTACAACACAGGTGTATCATCCACAAAGAGAACGAGTAAAAAATGAGGCACCTGTAAACTATCTTGCAAATGGGACACCACTATCTTGTCTTTCTCTCCTTGCTGTGAATCCACTCAAATATCTTCCCATGCTGCTCCATCATTTGCTTAGTGCTTCTCTGACACAAATGAGCAGCATGGGTGATGGATGATCGCCTTGTCATAGGACCGTTGTTCTCTCGAAGAAACCTGTGAAATTTCCACTGACCCCAATTGAAAACTTCATTGTAGATATACAAATACAGATTCCACTTTTCTCCTTACCCTATTCTCTCCAGAAAAATGTCTGGAACGCACATTCTAAAAAAAAAGTGTCCGGAAAGCAGTTTTATCAAAGGCGAAAAGCGCAAAAAAGCTCTAAGGTACGTTGGGGCTTTAAGCGCAAAACGCAAATAAAGCGTGAGCTTTAATGAAAAAAGGCGCAACTGGAGAAAAAGTAAAAATATGTATATTTAGTACAAGACTAATAATTATAAGCATGAATAACAAATATATGGATAAAGAAATTGGAAAAAGATTACGATAAAGTGAAATATCAATTGTTTAATGTTGCCTTTTCATGATTACACTCATTGGCAAGGAATAGTATGCCTTCGAGCCTTGATGTGATACTAAAGGCGAATCGCTCAACATGTTTTGAGCCTTGCTTCAGGGCTTAAGCGCGCTTTAAGCGCGCCTTTGACAACACTGCCGGAAAGCCACAGTTAACAGGTTGTAGGCCTTTTCCTGGTCTAATTTGCATTATAGATCCCATTTCCACCCCTTATCCTGGATGCAACTAACTTGTTCGCAACCAGTGCCTGCACCTAATAATTCCGCCTTCCACAAAAGTGTTCTGAGACATTGACATCATGTCATCTAATTTTTAAATTTTAAAGGACCTTATAGGTAAAGTCTTTGATGTTCACAACTCTTGCCTTCTTTAGTGACAACAAATGAAAGATGCGCTAAGGCTCTTTCAGATTGGCCAACATCAGTTTTTGCTCTTTTCTCACAAGTGTCTTGATAGCATTAAAGAAGGAATACACTTGAAAGTGCGCAAAGCTCGAATTATGTAGTGCATTTGCTTTTTGAGGAAAGAGAATTGCTCCAGCATAAGTTTTGCACACTAGTTTTCGTGATTCTATATGTTGCATCGTTGTAGGATTATTCTAGTAATAGCTTTAACCATTTTTAAAGAGATCTGCCGAGATTCATTTTGTAGTTACTTTACTTTTCTTGTAACCGGAGGACACCTTGTCTCCGCCTCTCTGTTGCCTTCCTCATTTTTTATGCTACTAATTATTTCTCTTCCTTATACACAACTTTTATCAAATTAGTGCTACGCCCGGAATAAAAAAATATCATCAGAATGCTTGATGTAGCATCTCTGGTTTGGTCCATGGTAGTCCCCTTGCCCGTGCTTTAGAATACTAATATCGAGTTAATAATTGGAAAACCTGTCTGACAATTTCAGGATAAGCCTTCAGCTCTTCAAGACATTTTAACCGGAGAAATGATCCTTTTATCCTCAAAGGATTTTCACCGGCAAGGTCATAAGGAGCGTGCACTAGCCATGCTGCATCAAATGATTGAAGATGCTCATATGGGGAAGAGACAGTTTCTTAGCGGTTAGTTTTTGCTTCTTTATCCTCTCTTTATGACATCTATTGTTGGTAGTTGCAAGTTTTGTGGGTTGGAGAATTAAATAGAATAAGTGGTGAGGCTATCTTATTGTTTCTCTCCCTTCATTTTCTTCCTCCTCTCCATGTGCGTTTCGTCTCTATCTCTCCCTCTTTATTGCTTCTACTTTTTTGATGTAATTGCATGTTTCAATTATGTTTTTATTCTTGAATGTTTAGCTAGATCCCTATGGATTTTCCTGTATGCGTGTACTTACTCTCTCAAAAGTCATGCATATAAATTTTTGGTGCTTTGGAAAAATTTAGGTAAGCTCCACAATTTGGCAAGAGCTCTAGCCGATGAAGAAACAGAGAGGGAACAGGTTAAGGAGGATGGCTCACGTTCTGACAGGAAAGGATTGTTACTGTACAGCAGAAATGGTGTTATTGGGCTTGGGTTGAAAATCTTGAAGCAGCTTCTGATAACTTCAGCAGCTGGTGACAACAATATACCTTCTGGTGGATATGATGTCAAGGAAACTGGAAAAAGATTATTCGGGACGTTCAGCTCCAGAATGACCACATTTCTATCACAATTTGTTCTCTACCTTGCTGCCATTGGGGACATTGTTGATGGGACTGATACCACTCATGATTTCAACTACTTCTCACTAGTGTATGAATGGCCTAAAGACGTAAGCTTTCTTTTTCCATCTTTTATTACCATTGCGGGGAACTGTGTGAACTGGCAAAAGTAACGTGAAAGTCTAGTAACAAGTTTTGTTGTAGAACCCTGGATTTGAATTTTATTAGGATCTCACATTCTTTAGAGGTAACATTTATGGTATTTAGCTAAGCAATACCGCTCCTCTTGCAAAGAAGATAGCAGATTGAGAGAGGATAAAGTTAAAGACGGGAAGCAACATGCTTGGTCTAAAATATTTCATTAGAGCTTTCTTGCTCTCACAAAATATATGCTAAGATGATATTATTCTTATTTCTGTTTGGTCTTAACTTGCTCACTTTTCTGTTCATCACTTTGCTCGCAGCTTTTAACTCGTCTAGTGTTTGAGCAAGGCAGTACCGATGCAGCTGAAAAGGCAGCAGAAATTATGAATGCTGATTTTGTTCATGAAGTGATTTCTGCTTGTGTGCCTCCAGTTTATCCTCCAAGATATGGTCATGGTTGGGCTTGCATCCCAGTAATTCCTACACACACTGAGAATTTCTCTGAAAATAGAGTAATATCCCCTTCATGCAGAGAGGCCAAGCCTGGGTCTTTCACCCCTTCCTCAGGGGATGTTGAATTACCTCTTTATCCTCTCCAATTGGATATAGTGAAGCATCTCATCAAATTATCCCCAGTTAGAGCTGTATTAGCATGCGTCTTTGGAAGTTCTATACTTTATCGTGGCAGGGATACTACTGTATCTAGATCTCTGAAAAGTTGCTCGTTACAAACTCCTGATGCTGATAGGTTATTCTTTGAGTTCGCACTTGACCAATCTGAGAGGTTTGTAACATGCTAAATTGAGTTTGTAAAATGGATCACTAATATATGTGACATATGCGGATACTTTTTTTCTTTTATCTTTTTGGTCAGTTTCTTGTCATGACTTCCTGAGCAGGTTCCCTACCCTGAATCGCTGGATACAGATGCAGACCAATCTTCATCGAGTCTCAGAATTTGCGATAATGGCTGATCACACAACGAGGGATGGCAAAGATGTACCTGAATGCAAAACTGCTATGAAGCGATTTCGTGATCATGATAGTGATGCTGACTCTGAAGTTGATGAACTTGCTGGTAGTAATAATATATCAATAAATGCCCAGGAGATCAAGAAAGAAATGGGAGGATCTTCTGATCCTTGGCACGATTCCCTAAAATCCGAAAGTTCTGATTGTACTACAGTTTTTCTTTCTTTTGATTGCGAGAATGAAGGCCCATATGAGAAAGCTGTGGAACGGTACTCCATCTCCTTTATTTTTGTTTTGACAATTGTTGTTCATATAAAGTTGGTCTTGCTTGTGTCATCCATAGTGTTTTTGCTGATCTAACCTGCTTGTCTTGTGGGATTCGCTTGCACTGGACAATAATCATGAAGAAATTAGCGTACGTATCGTGTTTGGGGAGCTGAAACTTGGTCTCATCCCCCATGAGCCAGCATAACAGTGGCTGAACCTTAGGGATTGGGTACAGGTCTGGAAAACAATGATCATTTGCAGCAGAAAGTGTATATATAGAACATTAAAATATGAACTTCTAATATCTTCTGGGCTAAGGAGCAAGAAGATCCTTGAGAATTTTGCTAGTAGAGGAAATAATAGATCTCATGTACGAATCTTCTATAGGCTATTTGTTTTTTCGATGAGGTAAATAATCTCATGAACATGTGGGGAAACACCTGTATGAGAAGTATACGAAAAGTAGAGAACTTGTATAAAAATATTTTAAGTGGCTTAATCATCTAAGGCTACTTCTCAAATGTACGAAGTCTTTCCAACACCATTCAAATGCTCTCCTATTTCTCTCTTTCCCCAAACCCCACTTGTGGGATTTCACTGGGTTGTTGCTGTTGTTGTTGTCATATTACCCACGTAAGAGCTAAAGGGGGAATATCCTATGCGATGGATCTTCTCTTCCTTCTCGTATATGCTATGTGGCTATGCCTCCTTGACAGTGCTTGGCATCAGCCAATGCACTCCAAACTCCATTCGTTACCACCCACCACAAGCGTGCTGTTACTTTACAATGCAATAAGAGATGATTCAATTCTTCTCCCGTACATATGCAAATGTAGCACCAACTGACATAAATGATCATCCTTTCCGTCAGGTTCTTTGCTGGAAATGTTGCTCCTCTAGCTGCTAACCATGAATGATCCTTCTCTAGGCTGTTTGTAGGAGATACGTGAAACTTATTTCCTAATATAGCATAAAGACAAATCTCCTTGTGGTGAAGCATAAGTTATGCACATACCTCTAGATTGAAGACAACGGGAGATTGTCAATGTTGGAGATACGGGAGATTATGTATTATGCTTCCTTGAAAATCTTTGTTTGTTTGTATATTTAGCGCAAGTGAACCTTTTCTAGTTAAGACAACAGTTCTAAAGCGCGTTCAAGTTATCTAAGTTGGTGCAGTCAGAATGAGCAGTGCTGGTGATAAGGCCCCACCTATCGTGGATTTATCGTGACATGATGCCTCTGAAATCCTTGAAGAATGACATTGTGGGTGTTTGTTAACCTGTTAGGCACTTTTGTCAGAAAGGCACACTTGCGAAAAGTTAAAGTACTACATTCATCGTCTTACTACCAATGAAGATATAGGCAGTTGAACTGAAAGATTTCCAACCAATCAGTCTTCTGGGAAGCATGTACAAGATCATATCTGAAGTTCTAACAGAAAAAGATGAAGAAAGTGATGCGGTTGATTATTGGGAATAAAAATGCATCTACCTGGCAGAAGCAAATCATGGATACAACACTAACTGCTAAGAATGCCCTCCATTGAGAAAAGTGGAAGAAGGTATCCTTTGTAAAATGGATTTGGTAAAAGCATATGGAATTATGAATTGGTTTTTTCTTCTCAAGATGCTGAAACTGTTGGGATTTGGTTGTAAGTGGATGAATGGATTAAATCTATTCTCTCCTACCAGATTTTCAATACTTATTAGTTGAGCACCAACAGGTTTCTTTTCCTGCAAAAGGAGTTGAGACAAGGGGATCCTCTTTCTTCTTTCCTATTTCTATCGGTGATGGAAGCTCTCAGCCTGATGATAGATTTGGTGGTGCAACTGCAGAAAACAAATAAGGAACCCGTGGTAGTGTTTACTGAAGTAATAAAACTAAATGTGGGGAATGGTAGAGGATTAGAATTTGGCAGGATAGGTGGCTGGAAAATGGTATGTTGGAGTTTCCTAATCTGTATAATCTGGTCACTGTCAAATTTTGCACTTTGGCTGACTGCCTTAATGATGGATGCTGGAACATGCAATTTAGAAGAAATTTACTAGAAATGTCAGCGAGCTGATTGGTAAACTTGAAGGTTTTTGCTCAAGGAAGACCAACACGATTACCTTGTAGGTGTGTTTGAAATCGATGGAAACTTCTCAGTAAAAGCATGTTGTGATTGGTTGCTAGAAGGTATACTGGCTATGGAACACGATTTGGGTGATCACTGCCCCCCCCCCCCCCACAAAAAAAAAAAAAAAGAAGAAGAAGAAAAGAAAAAGAAGTGGGTGGTTTTGTGTGGGTTTTTGACATGAAGCATGTCTAACACATGACAACTTGCCGAGGAAAGGGTTCAGCTGAGTAGTGCACCCTTTCACAGCAAAAATAACACTAAATCAGTGAAGCACCTACTCCTGCAATGTAAATACATATACTCCATCCGTTTCGATTTATGTGAACCTATTTGATTGGGCACGGAGTTTAAGAAAAAAGTGAAGACTTTTGAACTTGTAGTGTAGAATGAGGCACATATATTTTGTGTGGCTATAAATCATTGCATAAAGGTAAATCGTTTCCAAATATGGAAAGGGGTCCTTTTTGGCACGGACTAAAAAGGAAATAGGTTGATATAAATTGAAACGGAGGGAGTAGTAGATATTGTCTATGTTGTTGAACTTATTTGGAATTATTAGATGATGCCTGGGAAGTTGGTGGATAGTGTAAGCAGCTGGTAGGGACAGAGGTGAAGAAGAGTCAGAGAAAGCTATGCAACGTCATTACTCTGTACTTTTTGCACATTTTTGGAGTGAAATAACCATATATGTTTCGAGGATAGAACTTTATCCTTATCTTTTGCATAACTTAAATACTTGGAGAATACGTACCTTTGGTGTATGGAGAGCATGTAGAAGATCCTGAAAATGCTGTTGAATTCGAGTCCCTGCATACTTGAGAGGTAGAATTTCACTCTCACTGTTGTGCTGACCAAGTACCTTGTTGGTGACACTTACTGTTAATAAAAGACTTACATTACTTATTAAAAAAAGAAGAAGGGGGGTTTTCTGTCTAAATGGTGTTATATTTCTGCCTGCTTAAGCAGTTCTTTAGTTGAAATGAATATTAGCCGCTGAAACCACCTTCCTCTTCCTAACAACTGTATTTTGGTTTCATTAACTCACCTTCAATAATGCATAGGGAACTGCATCCCTTAGAGGGTGTTCTAGTTCACAAAACCTCTTTGGTTTAAGTTGGTTTGTTCTTTTTGCAAATTTCTCTATCTTGTATCTTATTTCCTTGTTTTCTGTTCATCCTTTTCTGCAGTCTCTGTCTATAATTCCTTCCCGTAAGGGCTATGTTCACACTGCAGTTGTTGCAATTCATGGTTACTATTTTCTCTTTCATTATTGAAAACGATATATAGTGTAAGTTTTATGCATCTTAACAGTGGCTACCTGGAAGAGTGTAGGCTCACCTTTAACATTTTTCATGTCAACAGGTTGATTGATGAAGGAAAATTGATGGATGCTCTTGCCATTTCTGATCGTTTCTTGCAAATTGGAGCCTCAGATCGGTTGCTTCAGTTACTAATTGAACGCGGAGAGGAAAATATATTGTCTGGACAGTCTCAAGGTTACTCAGGCAACCATAATTGGAGCCATAGCTGGCAGTACTGTCTGCGTTTGAAGGATAAACAATTGGCAGCTAGACTTGCACTCAAGTATGTCTATAAGTCTCTTTTTCTTCTGTTGAGTTCTTTATTATGTGTAAAATGGAAGTGATTTGGATGTGGGTTCATGCATCACTCCTCACCCTTGCAAACACTGGAGCTACAATTGGTTGGTTTTGCATGTTCCTGCTGACCCCAGGGTACTCACCAAGCTATCACTTGCTGAACTTTTGAAACACATCAGTGAGAGATTGAGAGTAAAGTGGAGAACAGGAAAATGATTTCCCTTTTTTGACTCTATATATCTAGATTCTAAACTACAACCTTCCCAACCCAAATGTAAACTGTAAGAATGGTTTCTTTGGCATCCTAGAATTGTGGCCAGCCCCTGTAATTCTTGTACTAAGTTAAAAGGGATTAGTCTACTTTTGGACCAATTTACATGAAGTCCAGGCACAACTTCAAAGACATTTAGGATCACCCTTAGGTACTTAATTAACCCACCTTAGGTTCACAAAAAATGAGGGTGTCATCAGCATACAAGAGATGTGAAATAGTCAAAGTATTTTCTTGCCCTCTGTTCACCTTGAATCCTTGATCCACCTTTTCATTTACTGCCAAATTATCATTCTATTGAGACCTTCCTTAAACAACAAGAACGAAAATGGAGTTGGATCTCCTTTTCTCAGATCCCTTTGAGTTGGAAAAAAACCGTATCCATTAGTTAGAATGGAGAATCTAACTGTGCTGATGCAAAACCATACCAATCGCTGCCATTTCTTTTCAAAACCTAATTCATTATGCACATTTTGCAAAAAACCCAAGGTTACATGACCATAAGCTTTTCCACTGTAAAGCTTACGCGTGATCCCTGGTTTCTCTCCTTTGTGGAATCAAGGCATTCATTTGCTATTAACATAGCTTCCATTATTTGTGTTTTACAAAAGCCGTGGTGTTCTGGAAATTAACTTAGGCATGATCTTAATCAATCTTACTGTAACCAATTTGGCAATAATCTTGTTGAAAAGTTTCCAATAAACCTATGGCCGTGAAGTCCTTAAGTTCTCTGGCAGCCTTCTTCTTAGGAATTAGTGCAATGTATGTAGCACTGGAGCTCTTTTCTGACTTTCATGTTGATTGGATGTGTTCATTGGCCCTGATAATAACTTCTTCCAAAGTTGACCAACATTTTTGAAAGAACCACATTGTGTACCCATCCGACCCTCGTGCTTTGTTGTCACTTGCACACTTTTTAACCACATCAAGGACCTCTTCTTCATCAAAAGGCCTTTATAATCAGTTGTCTTTCTCACTGATCTTTGTGGCATCTCCCATGTTGAGTGGTGGAGGTCCAATATTTAGTCTAGGTGTAGAGTTTTTCATAAATTCTAACATTTCTTTCTTCATCTCTTTTGATTCCTCCTTCATTGTACTGTTTACTTCTATTTTCTCTACGTGGTTGTATCTCCTGTGGGCCTGGCCATCTTCTGAAAGAATTTAGTGGTCCTATCCCATTGTTTTTGCCATAAGAATGTTGAGTTTTCTCTCGAGGAGATTTCCTTTGGCTTTGCAGTTTCCTCCATCTCCATTTTAATGATTGGTTTTTCTACCAATTCATCCTCAGTCGATTCCCCATCTTCCATTTTTTTGTTAGTGTCTCGTATCTGCCTAACAACTCAGATTTTCCTCTTATCTAATTTCTGACAGTTTCTCCAATCCATTTCTTCCATTTCGACTTTAGTAATTTTAATTTTTGTTCCAAATGTAATGTAGACTACCCTTGATCATAAAAGAAGACATGTTAAAATAACTTTGAAACCCTCTTTTTTCTAGCCATCAGTTTTCGGATTTAAAATAACTGTTACTTCTTTCCCATTCCATTGTAGAAGTAGGGGAGTATGATCCGAGGAAAGTTTGGGCAGTGTAATTATTTTATAAATCTGAATTCCTCATCCCATTCTACTGAGAACATGATCCTATCAATTCTAGATGCAACTGTGGAGTTATCCCTTAGAGTTATGTAAAAAAACTGCCAATTAGCCCAAGTTCCTTAATTTGTTCCAAAAAAGACCACATATCTCTGGTTCTTCTAGTTCTAGTATTATTTTTATTCTCTCCCACATGTCTTGTAAGTTTGAAATCCCCACTAGTAACCCATGGGCCGTGGCTTAAACCTCTGGCTGTAGCCATTTCCAGCCATATATCTTCTCTTCCCTTCCCTCTGTTAGGACCGTAAATCCCTATAAGATGTCAGTTGAAATTCCCGAATAGGCTTTCAGAAAGCATAGTGGAGCTGTAAAACCCTATAACAACTAGCATACCTTCACACTATCTTTTATCTCATAGAACTAAGATGCTTCCCTTGCTTCCTTTACCCTCTAAGTGTGCATAACCATCCCATCTATTCGACCAAAGCTGTCTCACCGTAGAAGTGGAGATTAATTCAGTTTGGTCTCCATTTCCAATAGATATCTGCTTTCCGTTTGAGTATCAACATCTTCAAAACCCTTGCTGTTAAGACCTCTGACGTTCCAGCTTACAATTTTCAGCTTCACGATTCCTCAAAATTTAAAAACCTCCCTTAAATCTTTCACTATTCCCCGTAATTGACATTGAACTTTTGGTCTTTGAGTTCATTTTTCACACCTTTTAGCCTACTCGATTAACCATGGTGCTTTTTGGAGACCTTTAAGTCTCTTGGTGTCAATTTTGGCGAATAATTATATTGCCTCCCTTTCAAATCCTTCAAAATCCAACCTCATCTGCTTGCTCCCAAGTCCAACTCGTGATTTCTGCTCCATAGCTTGTTGGGTTGAAGGTTCGGCCGTTGCTGGTTCTGTTAATAGAGGCCCAAAAGGATTGAGCTTATTAATAATGGAAAGCTTTTCTTGTTGAGGGCCTCGGGCCCTTTTATTTCGGAATGGAGCACGTGTCTCGCATCTAGTATGGGGATTGAATTCAAAATTCGAATCCCACACTTGCCCATTAACATGATTTCTAGTACCCAATGGTGTGTCTATTGAACTGTGGTGGTCTTGAAACATGGTTCATCATCTTCATTATCTCGGGGGACAACATTAGATTGATGAGCTCCCATTTTCCAACAAACTATTATGGTGCTCTCTATCCAATGGTGATATAAACTCTAGTTCAACCCTCAGGGGTTGGCCTGGTGGCAATTGACTTGAGCCTTGGGGTTTGCTCCCTTTCAAGGTCTCAAGTTCGAAACCCACTGGGTGCAAACAATTTCTGAGGGCCATCGGACTGGGTAAAACCTGAATTAACCGTGGTGCACTTGCGGGAAACTCCTTGCCGAGGGCCTGTGCACCCCCGAGATTAGTCGGGGCTCAAAGAGACTCGGACACCCGGTGCAAATCAAAAAAAAAAAAAAACTCTAGTTCCCTCGAATCCACCATGACTGATCTCGTAATACGATCTGATAGTCCCCTAGCCCAGCAGAGGTGGTTTTCCTAGGTTTCTCCTCTGTTTCCGAGCACCCGCTACACTATTCCCTTACTTTGAAAACCCTATCAGATCGTAGATGTAGTGGCATGTCCAGTAACCTGACCCATATCCATTCTGGCTCAAAGTGCTCTGAGATACAACCTACTTCTGGTGATCACGAATGTAAATTTAGACTCATATTTTTCCCACTCCAACTCCCATTAAAGATCCTTCTTGCCTCCTTCTTTGATGGTAGTTCAAAAAGAACCTTTAGGCCATTTGTTTCAAAGACCCTGCAACTATTGTGAATCTGAGTTCATTGCTTGTTGACATCTCCTGTGTTTCCCTTAAATCTTCCACCAGACAATTTTGTAGAGACTCCATTGTCTGATTTATACAGCTTTAGTCTCCAATAGTTTTTTGGCTGTGGGTTTCAGTTTCAGACTTAGAGGGTGTTTGGCTAAGCTTATAAGCTGGTCAAATTGGCTTATAAGCACCTTTTGGCTTATTTACCTGTTTGGTAAACACCCAAAGTGCTTATAAGCTAAAATCAGCCATAAGTCATAAGTTGGTCACCCCCAACTTATAGGCTTTTTAGCTTATAAGCACTTTTAGTTTGACTAAGGCTTTTACAACTTTATCCTTAATAATATTTTTTAATTCACAATATATTTTTCCCAAAATAAATTTTCTAACTTTCTTTTCATTCCATATTCGTTGTTCATATTTTTCTTTACAAAGAAACTTTTTAATTTATAATCTTTTGTAAAGTTTTTAAGGATATTTTAGTCATTTTAATAAAAGAACAACTTATATCAGTTTCAACACGTCTATCTAAACACGTAAATGCTTATTTAAAAACTTATTTTGAACACTTTAAAATGCTTTTCTGCACTTCAAGCTTATCGGCAATTTACAATCAGCTAATCCAAACGGGCTCTTATTTCTTCTTCGACCATCTTCTTGTTTTCATTGCTTCATCAAAGCTCTCTTGTTACTTCCCTTTGAGAAGTTGGGCCTTTCCTGTGAACCTTTAACTTTTGTGTGCAACATCCACCCATCCTGTATTCTCCGGTCACCTTGCCTTGCACGTATAGCCATAAACCTACCATGAATTTTGAAGTTTTGAACCACTGAGTCTTCATATAGTTGATCCATCTGAGTCCATCTTTTGACCTTATTGCCATGAGTCCATGACACTCCAACATGCAATCATCATACGACAGGTCCATAGTAGCATCTTTGTGTTGATTGTCAGTTTTCTGATGAAGTTCTTTCTCCTCTTCATCCATTCATACTAGATGCCCTAGCTGATGCAATTTCAGTAATATCGAAAGATTTCAAGCCCATGATGAAGAGTAACTTCCTTGACATATTGGACGGAATGAGTTTTAAGACAATAATTCTAATCAATGATTGATAAAACACAAACCTGGAATCTAGGATTAACAGAACTTCCTGGAAAAAGTAACCTAACTCGAAATCTAGGAGAAAAGTTGGACTTTCTATCTCCAAGTCTGCCAACTTTACCCGGATATTTGTCTCTTTTCTTTGCTTCTCTAAAGTGAGATACACTTGCTATGTAAAATTACTGTAGTGTAGTCAATCTTCTTCTTCTTTTATTTTTTTGTTTGGGGGGTGGGGGTTAAATTTACCTTGTTGTGAGAA